CTTGTACGACAATTACAAACTCATTATGAGCAATAGTTATGATGTTCTGCATCTGGGATGTTGAAAGTTATGTCTAATAGTCAAGGATTTAATGGGAAACTCGAATGTGTTCCGACAACTTGGGGACATATGCGATTTGAATTAAATTCAAGTATTGGCGGAAAACAAGGATGCACTTTGAATTGTACATGGGATTAAGTGGAATAAGAGGGTATTTTAATGTGGACACACTTTGCACGAAATGAAATAGAAAAGGGTAATGTAATATGCATTCCTGAATGAGAGATGACTCTTGTACACCAAAAACGAAGTATGCCAGTAAAAAGTACAAGTTTAAGAAAGGGCACCAATCTTAAAAGGTGTAAGTGTCATTGTGATAACAATGATACGCGAGTGTTAGAAGCTTACAAGCTATGGTAGTATACCTACACCCATAAGTAGATAAAATCTCAAAATTTTGTTAGAGAACCATTACAAGGAACTCAATAGAGTAAAAGAGTTGGTTAAAGTTAAGAAATGGAAACTTGAACCCTGGTATTCGAGAATGGATGGCACAGTAGTATCGTAAAATGAACGAATCTGGGATGATTATATTTTTTCCCATAGAGAAAATTTGTAGGCAATAATAGTTATCAAATTGGGATCTTCGGGAACTCCGAAAATCATGAGTGAAAGTGGGGTTATTAATTATTATATGATGGATGAATCCAGGATAATATCTTATTAATCTTTGTAAGGAACATAAGAACATTCCAGAATAATTTTAACAACTATAGGACACCAAGAGTCCTAAGTGGGAAAAATCATGTATGGAAATAAGAATCGTGAAAGGCAACATATTTTTTGAAAGTAATGTTTAAATAAAAATCCAAGACTACGAGTCGTAATGAACAAGTTTTGTAGATACCAAGTGGGCAATATAACTTGGATCTCATAAACTATGAAATATTTCCTTGAGCAAGCTAAGAAATTAAGGGAGCATGAAAATAAATTATTGTTTATTAAGGAAGTCCAATCACAGAGAGATTTTGATTTATTTGAAGATACTTTTTAGGTACAACGTGACGTATGCATGACTACATAGAATACAGGCATGTATGATAATGATATTGGAGCTATGTATAGTAGCGATTATTGATATTGAATGATATTCATATATGTTACAAGTTAAAAGTTTTAAAGATTTACATTTGATGCATTTATGGTATGTGTACAGCTGAGTGGGGTCAAGATGGTACATTATATTTTGTATTGTTGGTTGTTGAGCGATATTAGTATTGGTGCCCATGTGAGGGCTTGTTCTGGACAGGTTAAAGTTTTTGGATAATCTTAGTTATATGGTAATTCTGCTGAAAATTTTAAAAATTTGTAAAGATCGCCAAATTTTGAGGGCTGTAAGTAAGTTGAGATTTTGGAAAGAAAGTATAAGACCCATGTAGTCATAAGTGCCTATGCATAATGGTTGGAGGTAAAAGGATGGTAACTCTATTCTTAGAAGCGACTTGTAAAACATTCGAGGACGAATGTTCTTAAATGGGGGAGAATGTAGCACCCCAGAAAATTTTGAAGTACTTAAGCGCTATTAAGAAAGTTGATATGTGTTAATTATATTATTTCGTATGCAGATGAGGATTATTAATATGATGGATATTAATTTGGACATGATAATAAGTGTACGAGGCAAATTATAAGTGATGTGGGGTATAAGGAGAGCCCTAAGTCTAAGCCAAATTTGAAATTACATGATAGACTAAAGTTCCAAATGAGTACGCACAATACCAAATTTTGGACGATCATATTTATATGTATATAAGGATCTATGTGATGAACAACCTATCAAAGTAAAGATCTTCGAGTCTAGTTTCTAACACTTCAAACCGTTTGTCATTTGGACATTCCTACAAGAAGTTATGACCAAATTACCTAAGGCTGGCAGAGGAGTCAGTGGATGCAAAGCATCCAGAGCCGCGTTCGAAAAAATGGCTGGCAGTGAAGTGATGCCATAGCACCAAGTCCACGTCTGAAACCAGAACTCTAGGCTTATAAATACCAAGTCGGGTAAAAGAGTATTTTGAGTATTGTGGGTTAGGGTTCTTGAGGTGAAGGGGCGATTTTAAGCTCAAATCAAGTCCAATCAACCGAGGTAAGTTGTTAATGTTGTTTTGGGTTGATTTTTACTCAATATACATGAGTTATAACAGCATTCTTGCATCCAAATGCTAGATTTCATCATCAAATCCTCAAGAACACTAAAATTACCAAAGTTGTGATTTTTCAAGATTGAGCTACTAGAGGTAATTTCAATGCTTCAAACTCGTTTATTATGAGTAGTTAGAAGTATTTGAAGCATTTGGTACAAGTTTTAATGGTTGAAAGATTGGATTATAAAACTCTAGTTCATGGCAATGAATCATACTTTTGGAAAAATAAGAGAGAAAATGAATGATAATCTTGACGATGAAATTTATGAATACAATGAACCTATGGAATTATTTGTTAGCAGAACATGGAAGTGATCAACTAAGCAATCACCCGAATATATATTTTGCAAGTATTGATTATGGAAGATAATAAATAGTAACTTGGTGATAATGGACAATTGATGTAGTATTATTAATGACTTCGAATGGGTATTAAAACATAAGAATTAAGTTGAATGATCTAGTATATAAAATTATTTGGCGATATGAGTTGTTGGAGGCTTGTAGCGAACTTATGAGTCATATATAGATGTTGATCAATATCTTAGTGTCACGATCCAATCCTTCCTCTGTGAGATGTTGTGATGGCACCTAGTCTCTATGACTAGGTAAGCCTAACATTTTCGGAAATGGCCAAAAATGAAAGCAAAAACCTTAGCAACTAACAACAATAGATAATTTAAATAAACGACAGAGATGCCGCTTGGCATATATAATAACCAACTCTGAATATACATAAAATTCTCCCTGAGACCCTGAACACCATAAATCACAAGCTTCTAAGATTTTGTCTAACTATTCTGTACATCGGTATCTAGAAGAAGTAAGGAAGAACAACACAAAAGAGATTGAGGGAGAATACGAGGTCTGCGGATGCGGGCGGATGTACCTTGAAGTCTCCAGAGTAGCAGCAGCTATGCAACTAAAAGCGAGACTGGTAGGAGGTACCTGGATCTGCACACAAAAACATATGCAGAAAAGTAGAATGAGTACACCACAACGGTGCCTAGTAAACGCGAAGCATAACCTCAGTCGAGTAGTAACGAGGTCAGGTCAGGGCTCTACTGGTATCTGTATATATAAATAGGATAGAACAAAATCTCGCAGTATAATAAAAGACTGAAATTTGACAAGGAAAATCCCAGAAGAATAACAACACAGTACACATGAATAGCAACAAGGCATCTCCCGAGATACCGTCTCGTGGTCCCAAAAGTAAATGTGCAGGGGGATCTCCCGGGATACCGTCCTACAGTCCCAAAGTAAATATGCAGAGGATCTCCCGGGATACCATCTCATAGTCTCAAAGAAAATATGCAGGGGGATCTCCCGAGATACCATCCTGTAGTCCCAAAGTAAATAAGCAGCTCAAAACAATGGAAGTAACAGTTACAACAAGAAATCCTGCAGTTTAAACTAAGTACAAGGCAAGGAAAAGTAGGAAAATCCACTAAGCATGCTGCACAGAGTTCAGATAAGCATTTAAGGCACGTAAACATGCTATTCTAGGTTAAATAGGATAATTACACATGCTGATATAACTCAAATAAGAAGACACAAGTTATTACTTAGTAAAAATTAGGTTTTACAACAAATAGCCTGTATATGCACTCGTCCCTCACGTGCACGACGCTCACAATCGGTAACAATACCTTTTCCACAAATATCTGACTCCGAATGGCCCAAATCTAAACAAAAACAATTACATACCGTAAATGTAACTATAAGAAACTAATCTAATTAATGAAATCAAGGATTAAGCACGAAATTAAAAAATCGCCCCAAAAAGTCAACACGGGCCCACGTCTCGAAATCGGGTAATAGTCACAGAATATGAACACCCATTTACTCACGAGTTCACTCATACCAAAATTATCCAAATCTGATATCAAAATCTCAATTAAAACCCAAAATCTTAGTTGAAGAACTTCTTCCCATTTTCCCCAAATTTTCGACCGAAATCCGAAATTAAAAGATAGAATTATTGATAGATTAGTGGGATATAACCAAAATCAAGTGCAAAATCATTATCTAATCGATGTCTTTGAAAATCTCTCAAAATCTCGTCCAAATCCGAGCTCTCAAACTTAAGTTTTGATAAAAATGGCCAAACCCTCGTTTTTGAAATGTTTAATACTGCTTAGGCATCCCTTCTTCGCGAACGCGGAAGATGCCTCGCGTTCGCAAAGAGCAACTTAATCCATCCCAAAATTCCCTCATCGCAAACACGATGCCTTTGTCACAAACGCAAAGGTCACTCAATGCAACCCTACGCGAACACGGGACCAACATCGCGAACGCGTAGGCAAAAGGGGCTGGGGACCCAGCTGGCCAGTTCCTCTATGCGAATGCGGGACCTTAATCGCGAATGCGTAGGCCATCTACCCCAGTGCTTCACGAATGAGAGACCTCCTTCCCGAACGTGAAGCACAAAATCTCACCTGCTACCCGTTCCTCTTTGCGAATACGGGACTCCCCTCGCGAATGCGAAAAAGGAAACCAGAACTGAAGAACACCAGAAATCTGCAATCTTTCCTAAGTCCAAAATGATCCGTTAACCACCCGAAATCTACCCGAAGCCCCCGGGACCTTAACCAAACATACCTACCAGTCCTAAAATACCATATAAACTAAGTCGAGCCCTTAAAACACATCAAACAATAACAAAATATGAATCACCCTCCAACCTAAACTTAATAAACTTGAAACTTCAAAATTCTACATCCGATGACGAAACCTATCAAACCACGTCTGATTGACTTCAAATTTTGCACACAAGTCATATTTAACATTATGAGCTTACTTTAACTTCCAAAATCGGAATCCGATCCCGGGAATTAAATCAATTTGATGTTGTATTGAACTCATTGGTGGTAAGGAAGAAGGTGTAGTATCAGAAACAATATCATGAAACTCATCCAATATTGCTTGAAGTCGTGGGTCATTAACTTCTAATGACTCTTTCTTGGTGATAGATTGCACCTCCTTAGGTACTACAATAAGCACTTCCTCTCCTTCCTTCAAGTGTTCTTCTACCTTAGCTCTTGTAATGTATGTCTCCTTCATTTTAGGATTTGACTTTAAATCTTCAGGGTTCATTGGGAGCAATTTGATCTTCTTTCCATCCTTGAAGAAAGAGTAAGTGTTCTTGAAGCTATCATGAATTGCCCTTCTGTCATATTCCCATGGTCTCCCAAGTAGTAAGTGGCAAGCATCCATAGGCATTACATCACACCAGACCTTATCTTGATAATTCTTGCCTATAGAGAAAGGAATAAGGCATCGTTTATTAACTTGTACATTCCTTCCTTCATCCAACCACCTCATGCGGTATGGCTTCTGCAATGGCTCTGTCTTAAACCCCAATTTGTTAACCATTTCTTCAGAAACTACATTAGTGCAACTTCCTGGATCAATGATGAGTGTACAAACCTTTCCCTTAGATGTACAACGTGTATGAAAAATATTGTGTCACAACCATGGTTCTTCCTTGCTAGAATCTGAATGAAGAACGCGTTGGATCATAAGGTATTATCCATCATCTCCATATTCAGCTACTTCTTCCAAGTTTTCATCATGTTGCTCTTCATTATAATCTTCTTCATCAGTTGCTCCTTCAAGGATGGTGAATGCCTTTTTGTTAGGACAATCAGCTTGTATATGCCCAAGTCCTCCACATTTATGGCATCTTTTTTTAAAAATTGCTTCTGAAGTCATTGGCTTCCTTTCAACTTTCTGGACACTTGGTTTTGTTGTAGACGATTGTGGCTTTGTAGAGCTCAAACTAGCACTCCCATGGTTGAAAGTGTTAGGCCTTTTTATGGTAGTTGATGAAAACGTGGCTTTGGCTTCCTTCTGTTGTGTCTCTATGACCTTGGCTAGTTTGACAACATCTCTTAAGGTCCAATGGGGCTGCAATCGTATCACATTCGCAATAGTCTTATTTAATCCAGCCAAATATCGAGCAATTAGGCGGGCTGGTTTTTCTTTAATGTCCCTCTTGAGCCTAAGATATTCAAATTCTCTTATGTACTCGTCCACGAATAAAGCTCCTTGTCTAAAAGAATGAAACTTCAAGTAAGAATCTTCTTCATATGTCTCTTTCAAGAATTGTTTGCGCAATTCTCGTTTCATTCTCTCCCAAGTGCGAATTCGTGTTTTTCCTTCAAGCTCTCACTTTTTTTTGAGGTTTTCCCACCATAGCGATGCATAACCTCTAAGTTTTATAGCAACAAGTTTGACCTTCTTCTCATCAGAGTATTCTTTATAACCAAAAACACGCTCAATAGTTATAAGCCAATCAATAAATTCATCGCCTTGAGATTTGCCATCATACTCCGGAATCTCAAGCTTAATATCATCACGTTGATACCTCTCTCGATTATTATTGTGTGGCCTTCTCTGAAATCTCCTTCTATCATGTTGATACTGAACTTCATCAGAGTCGTACTCTTCACTACCTTGATTATCAGAATATTCCAAATCTGAGTTTTTATCATAGTGAGCATGGCGCCTCAGTATTTTCATGCCTTGGTCAGCTATAAATTCTTCCGCTTGCTCAATATGTCCTGCTCTCCGCGGTTGAATTGGTAGATCTCAAAGTGGAAGACGTCGTGGTAGCACTGGTATGTTGTGTCTTGGTGGCGGTGGAGGTTGTAGGCGTTGTGGAAGATTTGGTGGCTGATTTTGAACCGCTAAACCTTCAACCAATCTAGTCAAATTCTGCATTGATTTCCTTAAGTCATCTAGTTGCACTTTAATTTCTTCGTTGTCTCGTTCAAGGGCTGTAATTCTTGATCTTTCATTCTCAAGTTGTTCATCAAGTGAAGAGGATCCCGAGCTTGTTATTTGCTTGTCTAGCGACATGATGAACAAGATAACAATTTAAAAATTCGGACCTGGAACTTGAGCTCTGATACCAACAAGCCTCCATTGTTGTAGAAAACATGGCCTATATATGTTCATCATTCTCCCCTGGTTGAAAATGACTCGCCCTCGAGTCATCAGAATAGTAGGGAGCAAGATCTGCTACATTAAAGATAGGTGATATTTCAAAGTCATTGGGAAGCTCCAAGCGATAAGCATTATTACCAATCTTTTGCAGTACCTTAAAAGGTCCATCAGCTCGCTTCTGTAATTTCGAAAACTTGCGGTTGGGAAATCTCTCATTGCTCAAATGAACCCAAACTAGGTCGCCTTCCTTGAACACCACATGTTTCCTACGTGTATCAGCCTTTTCTTTATATNCCTATTCTTTATATCTAGCATTTTGCTTCTCGATATGTGCCCAAACTTTCTCATGTTGTTTCTTAAGTTACTTTACTCGATCAACAACATCTCCACTAAAAGAATGAGTAACCAGAAGAGGGGAAAGATCAAGCGGTCCAAGAGGATTCTTACCATAAACAACTTCGAATGGACTCCTTCCCGTAGTGCGGTTGGTTGACTTGTTGAAGGCAAATTCAGCAGTAGGAAGTAACGATTCCCACTCTTTGAGATTCTTCTTTATTAACCCACGAAGCAAAGCACCTAAACTTTGATTGACAACTTCGGTTTGCCCATCAGTTTGGGGATGATGAGAAGTGCTAGGTGTTAGCTTAGTACCAAGTTTAGCCCATTGATGAGAAATCTCTGTTAAGTTAAGAACACTTACCCTGTTGTTTTCTCTGAAAATCTCCGGAAAATCGCCTTTCCCCGAGCTCCAATTTGGTAAAAATGGAAAATGAGATTCATCCCATTTTCCAGAACTTAACATTCTGTCCGGTACTGTTCATGGGGGGTACTGTTCACGGGGGTACTGTTCACGGTACTGTTCATGGGGTATTGTTTCAGGGGGTAATGTTCATGGGTTACTGTACACGGTACTGTTCACGCAGGTGCCGTCACTATTCACACGTGCGAAAAATGTAGAAACTGCCCAGAAAATTGCAGCAGCTTTTCTTTTCACTAAAAAGACTCTAACTCCATCATACAAACTCGGAATTTGATGATTCTTGTTCCTATGAGTCACAAATAATAATACAAACATATCCCTTCAGTCGAAACTCAATTCGGAGCTCATTTGCTCAGTTCAATACCCATTTCGCTCGTTAAACAATTAACTCATGTTTCGTGTCAAAAACCCAATCGCGACTTGATAAAATTAGACCAAACTTTCCAGATCAGTCCTATAATTCATTATCAAAATTCCGAAAGTCTCAAAATCAAATTTCGATCTCTAGAACTAAAAATGGATCTTTGGATCATTACATGCTTATGCTCAAAACGGCAAAATCTTCCAAAAACTCTTAAAAAACTTATCCGAGACTCAAGGAACCCCGATCAAACATCCCAACACACCCCATAACATAATTCTAACTTGTTCCAACCTTCAGAACGCTCAAAACAACATCAAAACATCAAATCACCCTCGGATTCAAGCCTAAGAATTCCAAAACTTCCGAAATCTGAATTCGATCAAAAAGTTGACCAAACGACGTACAAATGACCTGAAATTTTGCACACACATCACAAATGACACAATGAAGCTACATCAATTGTCGGAATTCCATTCCGACCCTCGGATCAAAATCTCACCTATCAACCAGAATTCGCCAAAATATTAACTTTGCCAATTCAAGCTAAATCCTTCCACGGACTTCCAAAATGTATTCCGATCGCGCTCCTAAATCATAAATTACACAAGGAAGCTATCCAAATCATAAAATTTCTGATCCGAGCTCATATACAAATAAGTCAGCTCTTAGTCAAACCTTTCAAATTCAAAGCTTTCAACTGAGACTGTTCCTTCAAATTCATTCCGTTTTTTCTTGAAAACCAAAACCAACGATCTACATCAGTCATAATACATTACAAGGGGCAAGTCAAGCCCGAGAACTGGCGATCAAAGTGCAAAAGTTCAAAACGACCGGTCGGGTCGTTACATCCTCCCCCACTTAAACACACGTTCGTCCTCGAACGTGCCTAGAGTTGTTCCAGAAGCCAACCAATTGCTGAATAACTTTACCATGCATATACCCGGGGGTGATCCCACGTTACCCTACCTCATATAGGTTCGATAACACAATATAACTGAAATTTCACAATCTATCCTAGTCCATAAATCATAGAACCATATTTCTGCTTCTAAAATCCTCAATATGATCAGAACCTCACACCTATTCTTTGAATATACCCGAACTAGCTGTAGTAACCCATGCCTACAACCTCAAGTGCAGTTATCCGATATACCACGTAACTCAAACACATGTAGCGATAACTTCCATTCACAGCAGCTGCACACAACACCCGAATACCGGTAGAAACCTCTTATCAACTAAAGTCTCATTCCAACACTTCCATATACTGCCAATGATAAATGAAACACGCAATAAATCATAACCATCTCTCAGATCAGTCATCCATAAGGTTACTTCTCCTTTGGCAAGGACCATAGCAAATTTCTGAACCGAACCTCGATATTTACCCATCAAACATGCTGAAATCAAATCCGTTTGTATTTATTAATGATCCCCAACGATCTCCCCTAATCCAACACATTACTCTAGTGATATGACACATACATACAGACCTAAGCCACAACTTGCACAATACACGCATCAATACGCAACAATCCGAACATACTCAAATCATGAAAATGACTCAAATGAAAGAGTTGAACCTCAAGTTCACTAGTACCACCACAACACAAGACTGAGAACCCGTCTCACATCATAGGAATTGAACACACGAATCTAACCTGCAAGGTCATACCTCCACATATATTCACTGCAATGCGCGACCTTATTTAAACACTACTTCACATGGAACCACCTTAAGTCACTATGCTCGAAATCGACAACCACGCACAATTTGATATTTGGAACCAAAGCAATTCATCATACTCACGGTGAAGAAAATAACATATACCACGCACACCCGATAGGACATGATCGACACGCCGTTCACCGAGCAACACCAAATTACTCTTCCCGCTCGGCTTCCATTATGAAACTCCGATAGAACCGCACCATAGGTGCCTATAACCAACAGATCGTATCATCTCACAACCTCTAATACCCAATCATTCCACTATAAATACTCTAAAAATTTTCTGTGCCACCAAGCAAACCCGAATATCATCAGTCGATCTAAAAAGAAGGTGCCACAATACTACCGAAGTGCTATCAACTTAATAACATTGCCTTTTTACTAAAACATAGACTCTCGTCAAATCATTTCCAATTAGCAGTACCATTTCCTTAATCATCTTAGGATACCCACTGCCTAAGAGTTTTATGAACTTCCTTTCAGAACTGAATTGTAACTCATCTAGCCAAGAACTTCCATTGATCCCATCTAGAAGAAAAATCATTACATACCCTATGCTTCTCACACTC